TGACTCTTAACTTTTATAAAGAATATCTCTTTGGATTTGAGACTTTAGTCTTTGCAACTTTACAGATCTTCTTTATGCACCAAGAGCTTGTAACATTCCAAAGAGAAAGGAAAAATTGAAATAGCATCATATGACCCCTTTAAAATTATACTTTAAATGGTGAAAGACCTTTATAAATGGTAAGATTTGACAACAGTCGTATGGAAATAAAATCAAACACTGACTTAAAGGTGACATATCATGAAAATCTGACTTTTCCAGGTTTTAAGTGCTATGATCAGGTCCCCAGTGCATCTACTAACCAAGGAAACGTGAAAAAGATTAACTCTGTAACTTTGTTTTGGTAAGCCTTTTTCTGTAAGCGTCTGAAAAAAACGAGCGCGTCAGATTTCGCTCCCTTGGTGACGTGGCAAAGCGACCGCATTATAATATTACTGCCCCTTAATCTGTAAGTTTACACCCACGGTGCCGTGATTTGATTTTGCAAGCGACAACGGTGTACCAGTTCTAATGCCATGGCGAAAGTTTGAGCAAAACATGCTAACTGTTCTGTCTTTGGCTGCACAGACGAGCACAGAACACTACTGTCCCAGCCTCAGAGGAGACAAGAGAGCAGTGGATTTATCTAGTTATTTAATGTATATTGCTGGTGCCACACAGATCTAAAATAAACATGTGATTTATTTCCCAGCTGTTTACCTTCCCAGACATAACCGATTGTTTTTTGTAACTTGTGTGTTTTTAACGTAAACTTGTGTGTGAATGAGAACTTAGTTTAGTACTCACATGCTGTGACAGCAGCTTTCTGTAAGTGTGCTTCAGGTGTGTGCACTCAGAAAACCGTATATCAGAAGTTTAAACTCATATGCTTTAAAACGCATGATTTCAGCGCGGTAAACATGATAATCAGAACCAAAGCTGTAATGGCGCAGCTCTATTCTGGAAAAGAGGGCGGGGAGCAGCAGCTCATTTGCATTTAAAGAGACAGGCATGAAAAACAACGTGTTTCTGCTTCCACTCAAAATAGGCATTTTCAAAATGTTATAATAAATGATCTGTGGAGTATTTTGAGCTGAAACTTCACAGACACATTCTGGGGACACAAGAGACTTATATTACATATTGTAAAAAGGTGCATAATATGTCTCCTTTAACAAAACATAACCTAGACAATATACAATTTAGAATAAATAACACTTTGTCCATTCAATAATTTACTTTTTACTTCATTTTATACAGTAAAAACAGTAATAGTCTGAAATATTAATAACAATTTAAACAACTGTTTTCTATTTGAATAAGTTATTTATACCAGTGTTTCCCAACAGGGGTGCCGTCTGTCGAGAGCGGGGTGCCATGTAAAAAAATATTTAATATTTTTTAATATAACTTTGATGCTTGGTTTTGCGGTCTGGCAACAGGTAGATCTTCACGTACGGGTCGGATGTTCCCGTAAAGTCCTTAGCAGGTAGATCTTGGGCTTTGTGGATCTTCACAATGAGCTGCTCTAAATCACAGTCGTATTTGAGGATGAAGTGCAAGCGGCCACAGCTGTCCGCTCGTCTGCCGTCGTCCGTGTCCACCGACCGCTGTTTGTAGAGCTCAGGCTTGATGCGGCCCAAACCTGGACCCGATATGGACTCCTGTCTCTGGAACTGGGCCAAGTTGAAATCGGGGTTGGAGACGTTCATCTGTCTCCGGATGGAGTTGTGCCTGCAGTGAGAAGAAAGTGGGCGGATGCCTGTTGGGCTATTTGCTGGCTTCATATGCTAGACATCTTCTGAATAACGAGACTGAGAAGAACTATTAAACTAAATTAAAGTTGAAGGTCACAGAGGCCCACACTGTCTAACAAATGCCAACTGGGAATTGCTAAATGAATATCAATGGTGGGTGAGTGATTACGCCTGATGAAGTCAGGAAAACATGACTCACCTGACAGATGAGGTCGGTTCGGTGACTTGTCGTTGTACACGAGCTATGTGGATGTGGTTGAGCTCCGTGGCCTTAGTCTGGGCCTCCAGTTGGATGTCCGGGGACGTGTGGCTGATCTTCATGGCCGACTCCAGGAGCACCATCGGCGCATTGGGATCCTTCTCAAAGTCGTCGCTGTATTCCCGCTCCAGGCCCTCCACCTCGGTCAGGACCGGCTGCTGCTCGCCCTGCTGGTCCTTTAGGCCGGGCAAGAAGCGATCTCGCCATGGCACCCAAAACAACTTCCATGACACGAACAGGGAGACGGCAAACAGCGCCAGGCCACATGTGGTGGTCAAGAGGGACAACAGGCTCACAGACACATCTGGAGCAATAACCAAGAGAGAAAGTCGGTCACTGGATGGTGTTCAAAACTTTCAAGATATTTATAGACTATAAATATATAGTATTTTGGTATTTTTTTTAAAGTCTGGCTCCAGCTGAAAAAAAAAACAATTAACAAATTTAACAGATCAAGCATTCATATATTCCTGAAATCAAGAGAGGACATCAGAAAACTAGCCAATCAGAAAGGCTCTCTGGCTGTGAATCATTTTGCACATTTATGTTTGCTGACAACATGTATTTGGAGAGTGAGAGTCTGTGGTTTGAAATTAGCAAAATGGCTAGAATCACTTACATTACCTTTTCTGAGGTGCTGTTTCCTAGACTATACGCCCGTTCGCACAAAGGATGATAATTGTAAAAATAATGATACGCTTTAATAATCTTTCTAATTCTATGAGAATAGAGACAACAAAGAGAAACAATGCTGCTGGGATCAGTTTCAGAACGATTCTTTCCTCCTGATAAACGATATAAACATTACCTATTATTTTCTTTCTACCTGGTCTCATGGCAAAAACCTGGGGGCACTTTTTCGCGAGATGCGAAATACGTAACAATAAGTACATATCACTGCAGTTTCCAAAAGAAATGAACACTAAAGGCAGTAAAACTCAGACACCTTTTATTCCTTTTCACACAAATGTACAGAATTTCGATTAATAGTGTAATTTTCGCACAATTACTTGAAGAATATTATGCTATGACTTCAAAACAATTTTAATATGTTGGGAGATTTGAAAACTGATGCTTTTGAATGTTAGCATCGCACATATCCAGCTTCATATCTAGGAGTTTTCATAGACGGTAGGTTTGTTTGGTAGCTCAGGGAGTACGGAGACATACTTGAGAGGTGAGGAGCTCTGGTTCGAATCCCGTGTAACTACGGTTTGACAAAACTGTTCAAATCTGTATTTAAGGAAGTTCAAATGGAACGGTTGCATCAACAAATGCGTTTTTATATCAGTTTTGCATTTGTTAACAATTTTGTCGTCCCCAAATGTCCAGCGGTTGGGTGATCATCAGGGCCGCATTAACCATTGGGCTAGGCGGGGCTGAAGCCCCGGGGCCCGAGCAAGGAGGGGGCCCGTGATTGGCTGTGGAGTAGATTGACGGACATCGGTAGCACCGATCGCAAAAAACCCACCACACCCCTCACTTTTTAGCACTATTATTTAGTGGAGTTTTCCGTAAATTCCATGCATTATCATTAGAGATTAAAACATCACATTTGAATTTGTTTTACCAATCAAATGCATTTATTATATATTTTACTTCTGAACAAACTGTGTACGTAGCCTATCTATCAGGTGATCACTGTGCCTAATGTCTGCATTCACCTCTCTTCACTTCATTCTGGTATAATCTAGAAATGGTCATGCAGAGAACAAACTTCGATAAGTAAAAATGTCAACTATTCTAAAAAAAAAAAAAAAAATACAAAAAATAGTGAGAAAAAAAATGAGGAGAGAGGGGACACATGGGTTAGTCACTAAATCCACGGCTAGTTTATTTTACTAAAGCTGATGATGAAGTGGGAGTTGTGGAACAGCAAATGGACTGGACATATGGAGCAGATAAAAACACAGCGTCATTGTTAGAAAACACTCTCTGTCTTTTTGATGCCGTACCCCTCCTTTCTCACTCTTTCTCTCTCCTTCTCTGAATCACCCCTCCTCTATCTGTTCTCTCTCTCTCTTGTATGGTGTTTGAATGTCTCTTACTCAATATTCAAGGTAAAGGAGTTTGTGCTGATTTATAAGGGGGGTTCAGCCTCCGTCGCCAGGAAGTCTATTCCTTATAGGGATATGTTTTTCTGTATATGTGGCAATTTTATACAAAACACATGTTCTTGGGAAAAACATCCTGTATGGGTATGTCCCCCTATCCTCATTGGTTAAGAGGGTAAAAACTCCCCTCGACATGCCTATATAAGATCTGTATTTCTGTGAATAAATTGAAGTATT